AGGGATTGAACTCAGGGGCACTCAACTACTGAACCACATACCCAGCTCTATTTTGTATTTTATTTAGAGACAGGGTCTCACTGAGTTGCTTAGTGTCTCACCTTTGCTGAGGCTGGCTTTGAACTTGCGATCCTCCTGTCTCAGCCTTCCGAGCAACTGGGATTATAGGCCTGTGCCACCACAACTGGCCTCAGCTCCTATTTTCAAAGCTTACTCTAATTGAGATAAGATCAGCATGCAAAGTGTGAGATGTGTAATAATTTTCCATGTATGGTACATAATATGTGATGGTATTACCAGATGAGCATGTGCAGGAAAATGCTATGATAGTTTGGAAGAAGTAGAGGATCATTCATTCAATCAGATTTTTTTGTTTTTATTTTTTTTTTAGTACCAGGGATTGAACCCAGCAGTGCTTAACCACTGAGCCATCTCCCCAGCCCTTTTTATTTTGAGACAGGTTCTTGCTAAGTTGCTGAGGTTGAATTTGAACTTGCAATCCTGCTGCCTCAGCCTCCAGAGTCTTTGGGATTACAGGCATGTGCCACAGTGCTCCAAGATCAAACAATATTTATCGAACATCCTTTATGTCAGTGTTTTTGGGATAGAGAATACAGTTATGAACAAGATTCTTGTCTTCAGATAAAACCTCTCTGAAGAAGTGGCACTTAAGTTAAATATTGAAAAGAAGTCAGACCTGAAAGGATCTAAAGGAAGATCTTTATCAGCGGAAGGAATATCTCGTACAAAACCTCAGTGCAGGAGGGAGGCCTGGGTGGCCGAGGATGTTAGAAGGTACAAGTATAGGCAGGTTACAGGATGTCCTAGAATTTGTAGGCCCTGGCAAAGAGCTGGATTGCAAAATGCTTTGCAAAAGATTAGAACTATTTGAAGAATGGGTAAGATCAGGCTGACTAGCACTTTACATGTATTAACTACATATCACATCTACATTATGAGGTGGATTTGGTTATTGTCCCCATTTTACAGATGAGTTCACAGGCAAGGGGAGACTAAGTAATTCGTGACATGAGTGGCTTATTGAAGTGTGGCATATCCATCTTTTCATGTCCCCAAACAAAAAGCATCAAATGGCCTAGCACTTGTTTTCCAGAAGCCAGAACAGTCTTTGCTTTTCTCCCTGGAAGACAGCTGAGAATAGTGAAGCCAATTCAGTGCAGGCAACAAGGATTTGGGTCTCAGGTTTTGTGAGACAGGCTTGCCCTCCACCCTTGCTTTTCGCTAAACCTCTTAGTTAAGTCAAGCAGATGGATGTCTATGAAGGAATATCTTCCTCTCAAATTACTGGCTTATAGCTCAATCTCTTCTTTTACTCCTAGTCTACACCTTGATTGGTTTTGCAAAAGATGAAAAAAGTGATGAGAAAAACATAGGCGTAAATAGAAAATACATCTGTCAAAGTCTCTGACTGTAGGGGAAAATGATGACATTTGTGTTAATTGCCTGAATAAAGGGTGGAATTCAATTATGAAAAGTTTTTCTAAACATTTATTGCAGAGCTACTACATGCAGAGTACAATTCTGTGAAGGAAAATTGCTCTCATGATTCTCAGTCCTCAGGGAGCTAACATAAGAAGCAGCTCTGATTGCAAAGGAAGCACATGGCTCCTTGAGACAGGCCATCTCTATATGGAAGTTTCCATTTGTCACCGTTGGCTCTTTGGGCGGATAACACTTTGACATTAGTTTCTTCATGTGTAAAACAGTGCACAATGGAGGACATGTGCATTTTGAATGGAGCTAAATAAGCTATTACTCATTTCCCTTTCCTTCCTACGTGAGCTACTGAGAACATTAAATAACAGTCTATAGTTGACTCAGCATTGCTCATTGGAATGTTAGTCACTAAGTATGTTCTGAAAGAGATGCCTTCAAGGATGTGGAGAGTGTGGCCAGCCTCCAGCAGCCATCTGTGAGCAGGTCTTGGGAAAGCCGAACCCAAGACTTACAGGAATAGTGCCACATTAAAAGTGCAAAGTTCCTTTGGGGACAACCTGGCCCCTGAATCAGAATTTAATAATGTTAAGAAATTAGTTCAGTATTTTAGGTGTAATAATATTGTTATATTTTAAAAAATATTTCCTTTGGTAGATACATATTGAAGTTTGAGCTGATAAAAGATGATGTCTGAGGTTTGCTTCAAACAATCTAGCTTAGCATGAAGGGGGTTCCGTGAAGGTTCTTGGGAACAAGATTAACCATAAACTCATACCTGTTAAAGCTGAGTGATAGCTACATGGTTGTTGCTTAGTTTTTCAGTTTATTTCCATATAGTTTTGAAATTTTTGACAATACAAATTTTTTTTTCAGTGTGTGGTCTTGAGCTGAAAGGTCTGTCTTTGGTTAGGAGTGGGTGAGCTTTAGTGCACAGACCAAATACTGTTGCATTGGTTGTTCAAGACCTTTTGGCTCACGCGAGCTAATGGGCGAACTTTCCTCTGTGTCTGGGAAAGTGACAAAGCTTCAAATACTGGGAACATGTGGCTGGCACCCAATAAATACTGAATAAGTCAATAAAAGCCCAAAGACCAAAGCCCTGATCCTTCTCTTCTTGTCTTTGCAGCGGAGCCCAGGGGGAATATGCTGGACTGGCCACAATCCGAGCATACTTAGACCGGAAAGGAGAGAGGCACAGAACGGTGAGGGTGGACAGGTGGTGCTGGCTCACCGTTGGGTGGCAATGGACCCAGCTGTTAGGGTCCCTGTTGTTCTGTGGGTTACTCCCTCCAAGCCTTCTTGGAAGCAGATGAGAAACATATAATCAAGAAACAAATTTCTGTGAACGGGCCATTCTGATCCTTGCCTCCAAGGCCATATTGAGGGAAAACATTGAGAGATGAAAGGTTTTTGCTCAAACCCAGAATGTAAAAGTCAGCCAGTTGGCTGCAGAACTGCCCTCTCTAGGGAGCAAAGGAAGGAAGGGGGCAGGAATGTTGCCATTGCAAGCCTCCTCTCCTCCGCTCCTTGGCTCTCCAGGCCCTGGGCCTGGACAAAGAGCAGAGACCATACTTTACTTTTTCTATAACCCCTACCGTGCCTAAGCACAGTTCTCATTATATGTATGCTCAAAAAAATATTTATTGAATAAATAAATTCTCCACTAGATGACTCAGCTCTAAGTAACAACAACAACAAAAAAGACATGGAGCAGAGTTCATTGTTTTGTTATTTGCTTTGGGTATGAGAGTCCAGTCTCCAGTATCCAAATTGCTCTTGGGGACCCTTGTGAGAACCAGCGGGTTCTAATAGACATCACTAATCCCCAGCAACAAAGTTTTTTGATCCATTGCAGGGCTCAAGTTGTAGCTGAAGGTGACCTGTGTTCCTGGTTCCTTGGTTTTGGTGGCCAGTGCTATGCTAGGATTTCTACTGAGCAGTGGAATTGGCTTTCTTAGAGGGAGCATTGGGTAGGGGTCAGGAGCAGGGCAAAACCCTGGCCTGTCCTGGGAGAGTTTGAGAAAGAGGTAAACAGTGGTTCTAGCTGCCCAAGTAGGTGGTGTGTGGGTGTGTGTGTGTGGAGGGGTGGGCAATGGCCCAATCTTAGTCCATTCCTGGTTTTATTAAAACTGGAAGATTGCTTGGGCTAGCTGCCTGGCTTTGGCATTGAAGATTTTTGAAACCATTTTACTTCCCCTTCAAAAAGCGAAAAGAAGAAAGATTTTTTTCTCTCCTTCCCTTACTTATCCATCCTGATTTCACAGGCATATCTTCCCAGGCCATTGTCCTGGTTGGAGGATATAAGTGATTTTTAAAAATCTTTTAAAAACAAGCCATTCATGAATTCAATAAACTGTTGAATCCTAGCCATGAGCAGGGAGTGTGTGCCAGTCAGAGAGAGATCAAGGGATAGCCTGGCAGACACAGATCCTGACTTTCCAAGTTGGGTTTATTTACTGGGGTTTTCTCATGGTTTTGAATTCTTAACTTTCTAAGGAAGGGTTAGTTTAAACTTGTGAGTGCTTCAGAGGCTCAGAGCTTTTACAGAATCAGAAAGGAAACTTTGGATCTCAGGTTGTCCAGTGAGAGATGCCAGACGCCACTTTCCTATTTTTCCTTCATGGTTACCAAGCATTTAGGGAGCCCCTGACACTCCTGGTCATTACCCTCTTTCTTCATAAGGTGTTGGGGATCCTGGGGACCCTGTAAAGAGAAGAGTTTGTCCTATGTGATTGTCCACATTACTTTCCCATCACCTACAGGCCACTGAAGTTCATGTTGGTGGTGTGTGTAGAAGGGACAGCTAGAATCCAGGTTCTTTCTGCTCTGAGGCTACCCACCCTTAATGTGTTTCCAATTCTCCAGTCTGACACCAGGGAAGTAGCTATGAAGGTGTAGGAGTTGGGGATCAAGCCAGAAGGGTCAAGGAGGATGAGTGATCTTCGGATTTGGCCTGGGCAGCATTCTTCTGTGGCTCGCTGATTCTTCCTGACCCCTGTTCCTCTGTCTGTGCTTTCTGGTCCTCCCATCTCTCCTATCCCTTTGTGTGTGATGTTTCTCTTGGCATCATTGTCAATACTGCTACCAGTGAAGTGTTGTGAGAGGCCATTACAGTCTGAAGGTTGGAGAGGAGTGAGATTCTGCACTTTGGGGATGGGAGGAGAAAGGAGAGGCAGGAAAGACCACCCAGTTATTGAGCTTGTAGAAATACAAAATTCATAAGCCTAGAAATATTGGTATCCTTTTGGATCAAAGATTTTAATTAAAGCCAGCTTTAATTAATGACTTGTTATTCAAGTAATCAGGGAAGATTTTTCCACATCAGTGATGTCTGAGGCAGCTGCTCCCACACAATAGGCTCTAATGGAATCCAGTAAAATAGATCCTTCTGTTTTGAAAAGGAGTGTGGAGAAATCATGTGCTATAGAACTGCCTGGGTTCCTGATGATTTTCTTCTTTGAAGCTGTTTTTGAAGTTATTTTCACATTTGCTCTTGGGTTAAATTTCAGAGGTTTCTGAAATGGAATGCCTACGTTCTTGATTTACCAGTTTAATTTGGGAGAGTACAAATTTATCTAACACTTATGTAGCAATTACCCTGTGCCAAGCTCTGTCCCAAACACTTTATAATTAATATCTCAGTTTGCTAAATATTAACTTGCTTGCTGATTGGAGACTGAGTTGCCTACAAGAAGGACAAATATTGAGCCCCCCCAAATACATGTATATAAGAATGTTTTTTTTTTCCAATTGCCGAGGCCTTTAGTCAGTGTGTTTTATTGATGCTAAAACATCAACTTCCCCTATGCAGTAGCACGTCTCCTTAATCCTTCTCCCCTTCAACAAGTCTTTGAGGAAGATCTGTGCCAAGCTCCCTGGAAGTCAGGAAAACAGCCTCACTCAAACAGGCATAAATGTACCAAAAGCTGTATTTACTTTGGATAAATTAAAATGTCAAATCTGGATCCTGTTACTTTCAGGTCCCTCACAACACTGATTTTTCAAGTGAGGGGGAAATTAACATTGTCATCAAGTTCCTTTAACCCATGTGGAAAACAATAAATGTTTAACAGCAATATATAAATGATCTATTGATAAAACCACTGAAAAAAATTTCTTTTTCCACTATTCTTTACACCAGGATAGATATTGGTTTCCTGTGGCGGCTATGACAAATTATAGTGGCTTAAGGCAGCACACATTTGTTTTCTTAGTTACAGAGGCCAGACTAAATCTGAAATTGGATTCACTGGGTTTACTGTCGGTGTTGGCAAGACTGGCAGGACTGCTTCCTTCAGATGGAATGGGGGATGGATCATGTCCTTGCCTCTCCTGGTTTCTGGAGACTACCTACACTCCTGGGCTCGGGTCCCTTTCCTGCCATCACTCCAGCTTCTTGCTTCAGTTGTCACATCTCCTTCCTCTGTAGTCCAGTCTCCCTCTGATGTGGACACTTGGGAATACATGTAGGACCCAGTCAAAAACCCAGAATAACCTTCCCATCTCAAGATCCTGTCTAAATTTGCTCAAACCTGCAGGTTCCCTTTTGTCAGAGTAGATGATGCCCACAGGTTCCAAGGATCAGGACTTGAAGATGATTCAGCCCTTAGGGTGGTTGACATTTTTAGTTGGAATGCTTTTGTTTTCATCAGATCTTCCCTGGTGGGAATCCTTAATTGTGGCCTTTTATTGAATATTTTATATTCATTGGTAATATTCTTTCCCTTCCTTTATCAGTATTCTTCCCTGAAGGGATCCTTTCATTCAGTAATTCCTTGTAGAATAAAAATACCTTGTGAGAGAGGACAGTGACTCTAGTTTTGGTCCAAAAAATGAAAGGAAAAAAGTCAACTACAAAAGGGAAGCATATAAATAAGAAAAAGGATTTGTGGCCAATGTATCTGTGGTCATAAGCATAGCCTCTGTGTGACCAATAGCCACTCAAAAAGGGCACTAGCCTCTCTGTCAGCAGAAAAGTGACAAAGTAATTCCATTTTGCCTTTGGTTAAAGTTCTGTGTTTTTCTTCTGAAATAGACTACTTTGCTGTTTTTAAGGAAATAGCTGGAAGCTAAGTTTTCTCTACATAAGCCCAATTTTATAATGCCCATTTCTCTTCGAAGGGGTTGCCATCTTGATTCTGGGATTTAAAAAAAAGGAGGAGGATTATTTTTAGGGTAATCATGACCTCTCCTTGTTGCTTTCTGCTGAGGAAAACTTTGTGATTTACTTTGCTGTTGTGAAATATCATTATATCTACAGGAGTCTATGTGCTTGCCTACATTTGCATGATGGTTTGGAGGAAACAAAAATGATTTGAATCTGGGACTTCTAACATTGCACCTACCATCCATAAAAATCAAAGACTGAGCTGGAGTGTCGCTTAGTGGTAGAGCACCTGCCTAGCAGGTGTGAGGCACTGAGTTCAATCCCCAGTGCTGCAGAACAACCAACCAACCAATCAAAAGTCCAGCACATACTTAACTGTAACTTAGTAGCTCTTGAGAGTTATGATGGCTGCTCTAACAAATTACTATAAATTTTATGGCTTAAGAGAGCACACATTTATTTTCATAATTACAGAGGCCATAAGTCTAAAATTGGTTGCCCTGAGCTTACAGTCAAGGCATTGGCAGGACCAGTTCCTTTTGAGGAAGTTTCCCTTGATTTCTTTAACTTGAAACTTCATCCCATTTTTCCATTTCCTATTATACTTCTGGACTCTAGACATGCTACTGTTGTCAGTGGGCAAGTGTTGATTGCTTTTCATGCTTACTTTAGGATTCTCATGGTAGCTAACAATTTGTTGTAGAGTAAGCATCCAAGAAATGTTGACACAACTGGTGTGTTGGTACCAGGAGGCCCTGGGTTGTGTTTTTGTCATTAGCATCTGTCCTGAATAAGCCCAGAGGAACACTGAAGCAGCTATAGGCATTTGAGTCCTAGAGTTTAACTTCCAATTTCATGTTCTTATAAGGTACTTTCTATATATTTTGACTGACACAAGGTTAGAATAAGTACAGGCTTATTTTTAGTGGCTGGAATGAGGGAAGATATTCCAAACCTCTTTAGGGAATAATATTTCAGGATTCAAATGGAAACTCTGTTTAGACATTGTTTTGTAATAACAGTTAAAAATTAAATTGTAGCAGATTTTAAGGCACTCAAGGTCAGTTTAAATAAAAGCATATGTTGCCTATTTAATTTGTGCTACCAAGCATGTTGTGGACTTTTCTGTCATTATTAATAGCCTGTTATTATTGTTTTTTCCCTCTTTCCTGTTTCCTTTCCATTCCCAAGGTTTGCCTCATTCCGAAATCAGCACATGGTACCAATCCAGCAAGTGCCCACATGGCAGGCATGAAGATTCAGCCTGTAGAAGTGGATAAATATGGCAATATCGACGCTGCTCACCTCAAGGCCATGGTACTCATCTGCCCCCCACAGATGGGACAGGTTTGGGTTGGGAAGAGGAGGTGGGAAGCAGAGACCTGAGGGGCTATGGAAACATTATCATCTCTTGCATTCTAATGAAAAGACTACAATTCCTCCTCTGAATGGGTCTGAAGGAAAATGGTGTAAAGTCAGAAACCTAATAATAGTCTCTATAAGAAAAAAGAAAAAGAAAAAACAACAATCATGTTTTGGGTCCCTAATAAAGCTTAGCATCTCTATGTACCCCTCCCTTCACCAACTGGGAGAAGGTTCTTTAAACTACAATCCCCATCTTTTAATCATGCCTGAGTAAGACACTGAATGAATTATTCATGGTAGGAACAGCGCCCCTTGCAGGATCTGCCCATCTCTTATGACCGACTTTCCCTTTACTTCAGTCATCTTCTCCCATTAATAATCACACCTGGCAGTCAGAGTTCCAGACAGTCTTCAAGTTGGGAATTAAAATACAAATGTAGATTTTACAAATGTTTGTGAATTTTCCAGCCACATTGTGCTGAATTCCAGGCAGCATTCCACCCTGTTTCCTCCAACACCAACCCCCATTCCCAACCTCCCAACCTCCAGGAAGAGGTTGCTTAGCAACCATATCTGCTTTCCACCATGGACTGGAGGCTGCTTCTTAAAAGGGAAGGAAATCAGTGGAATAGCAATGTGATTTTGTCAGGGTTATTAGGCATCAAGACTGGGAATCTATGTAACCCCTCTTTCAGAGGGAAGCTGAAAATACACAGCACTCATCATCTCTTCCATCCACCCCTACCTTTCCATCGCCAGATGGAATTTTTTTCAACAAATATTCTGGGCCAGTAGTGGTAATTATCAAGTCTCTCCAATATAGAATATGACTTTATTTTCCTCCCATTTTCACATGCTTCTGCTCTGACTTGCTGTTTAGAGAAAAACAGCTAAAAAGCAAAAAACATGTCAAAACCAGTAACTAGTCTTTTATATACATTTGCCTTCTGCAGAAAGGAAATCTTTCTTATCAAATCAGTTATGCTTCTTATGGATTTTCTAATTTCAAGAGAGTGTGAGGGAGGGGCTGGGGATGTGGCTCAAGCGGTGAAGCGCTCGCCTGGCATGCGTGCGGCCCGGGTTCGATCCTCAGCACCACATACAAAGATGTTGTGTCTGCTAAAAAATAAATATTAAAATTAAAAAAAAAGTGTGAGGGAAAGGGAGTAGGGATGGGTGTGACAAGATGAGCAGAGAGATTACCCGTGAGAATAGACATATCGAGAACCAAAGAAGCCCAAAATAATTATTGAGATGGACCAAAGGAAAACCACCTTAGAGAGTTAGACGCAAAATATCCAAAAATCTTCTGATAAGTCTCCCCCCCGCCACCAGTGTTGGGGATTGAAAAGGCCTTGGCATGCTAGGCAAGTACTCTACTACTGAGCTATACCCATACCTTTTTTATTTTACTTTGAGACAGAGTCTTGTTAAGTTGCTGAGGCTGACCTCAAACTTGTGAACCTGCTATCTCAGCCTCTCAAGTCCCTGGGATAATAAGCAGGTGCCACTGTACCCAGCCTAAACTCTTTTAGGTCTCGAGTACACATAGAGTCCTAGCCTGAACGAATCTTGATATTTCTTTGGAAGATTCATGAGGGGGATAGTGGCTGTTTATCTTTTATTGCTGTTATTGTACTTTGATACAGTGCCAAGAATGCAAAGACTAAGACTTCATCTTTCATTAATCAATCCTTTTAAGATGCAAGGGTTTAACCAAGAAAGAAACCTTTTCTCCCTTTGTCTCCCTCTGACGCCCTCTCTCCCACAGGTGGATAAACACAAGGAGAACCTGGCTGCCATCATGATCACGTACCCATCCACTAACGGGGTGTTTGAAGAGAACATCAGTGATGTGTGTGCTCTGATCCACCAACATGGAGGGCAGGTCTATCTCGATGGGGCCAATATGAATGCTCAGGTGGGCATCCTGAGAGGGCTCCCTTAGTTCCCTCTGAAAAAAATGGATGAACAAATTAAAAAAAAAATTCCCTTCTGTCTTCTGGAGACACCTCTTAAACATGACACCAAGCTAGATGCCGTGGTTTATACCTATAATCCCAGTGACTCAGGCAGCTGATGCAGTAGGATCACAAGTTTGGGGCCAGCCCCCACAGTTTAGCAAGCTCCTGTCTCAAGAAATTAAAAGGGCTAAAAATGGAGCACAGTGATAAAGTACCCTGGGTTCAATCCCTAGGACAGCAACAACAAACATAAAATGACTCTAAATTCAGAACTAAGGCTGACTTTCTTTGTTGCCAGCTTCCAACGGAGTACCCTCATTTCACTGGAATTATAAATGCTAAGGGTCACTGGGGAGGAGGTGAAAGACTGAAAGGAAGCAGGGATGAGCTGAATTTCCTGATTATCAGGAAGTACCTTCCCTCTGGGATTGCTTCCAGCCAAGGCCTCCCAATTCCTGGGCTGAAGAAATTTAGATCTGCATGGTGGCAACTGGTAGATGGTGATCTCCCCTGGCCTTTAGCAGGTTGCGACTTGTCAGCTATGAAACAGCAGCCCCAGGGGTCAATCCTGACTACCTGGAGGACTGAGGTTCTGTGTAATGTGAACCTCCTGGGAAATGCTGTTGGGAGCCACTAAAGAGAAGATTGTCACAATCTTTTCAACTTCTTGATGTTCCTCCCTTCTTCCCTCCTCATGCTTTACTTTCTCTGATGCCTTTCATAAGTACAGTCCAGGAATAATCTTCTGTTTCAATAGCGTGAAGCAAATTATCTTTGCCCATAATCTAACTGAGCTGTAATGCCAGAGGGGCAGAAATGCCAGTTGGATGTCAAGGTCTGTATCTGGATCATCTCAGGAGAACGGCAGCTTCATTCCTGCTCCCTTAGTTCAGCTTCCTCTTTGGCCCTCTAGGCCCTTACATCAGTGAGGCTGAAGGGGCATTTGGTAATGTGCATAGTACCCGTATCTGAACGTGCAGAAGAGGAAGAACTGCTGGGGGTTGTGGGGGGGGGGAGTTGCCTATTTTAATAACAAAGAGATCATGTCTTTTTTTTTTGGATTAATGACACTTCTTACTACTTCTTTTGGAGCAGATAATTAGAAATATACTGTGTATTCAAATCTACATTTTAAAATTTCAATTGGGCTAAAGGGTCAGTTGCTGTTTCCATAGAAACTACAGCTTCTCTGTAGGATGGCAGTTTCAACAGCAGAAGTGAGCCAGCATGAAGGACATTTCTGTGAACACCATGGATGTGGCTTGCTCTGCCTGCCTTTCAGTGAGAGAGGCAGCACCAAAAGGTCATGGCCTTTGCTACAGAGGGCCCTGCCAAGCTCTTGATACTTACTTCTGGCTCTTTCTCTTTGTGGTAGGTGGGAATCTGTCGTCCTGGAGACTTTGGGTCTGATGTCTCACACCTAAATCTTCACAAGACCTTCTGTATTCCCCATGGAGGAGGTGGCCCTGGCATGGGGCCCATTGGAGTGTGAGTTCTGGGCCACTGGTTTCAGGTTGGCCCTGGAGACAGAATGGCCCCAAACTGTTTTTCCCATCGAGGTCTTCAAGTGCCTTAGTATGTGGGGGCTGGGCGAGGACCAGTGAAAGGAGTGCTTTGGGGGTATGTCCAAAGAAGAGTGTAATTAGATTTTCATACCCACAATGTTTGGCCTAGCTGAGCTCTCAATTGTGCATAGATAGTAGGTTTATTAACAGAGGAAGGGATGGGAAACTTCACTGGAATATTAGGGGTTAGAACTAAGTGTTGGCACCTGGAAGTGCTGGAAACAATTGGATGAAGTCACAATAAGACAGACAGACAGAATCCTCGTCATACTGTGGTGACAGTAGCCACTTCTGGATCTTCTTCCATATTCCAAAAATGTGGGCCAGAGGGGCCAGTTTTCAGGATTAATGGGATCTTGGCTCTCTTGCTTTTCTCTTTGATTAGTGTTATTATAGTAAGCAGATGATCCCCAGTGCCTCAGCTCCGTACATGTGTGTGTCAGGGGTGGTGGTTATGTAACTGGCTTCCAAGGTACAGGTCCTGGGGCATCTCTTCCTTAACGCTCTTCTATGCCCCGTAGATGTGTGTGTGTGTGTGTGTGTGTGTGTGTGTGTGTGTGGTGGGGCCAGAACTGGGATGTTTCACACCTTGAGCCCATGGCTCTGCATGCTACCCCTGCTGAATCCTCCACCACTGGGTGAGCTTCTGGGACTCTCATGGCTGGTAGAGGAGGAAGGAAGGAACTCTTCCTGGTTCCTTCCTGCCTTGCTACCAGCCTCTTGGCAGATATCAGGTCTCTTCCATAGTTAAGATCCTCCACTAAGAATAAGGCTTCTTGAAAGGGCCCAATACTTGCCTGTTTAGTTCAACTGGATCTTTTAACATCTTCTGAATGTCTACATACAGGAAGAAGCATCTTGTCCCCTTTCTGCCCAATCATCCCATCATTGCAGTAAAGCCGAATGAGGACACCTGGCCTGTGGGGACCGTCAGTGCAGCCCCATGGGGCTCCAGTTCCATCTTGCCCATTTCCTGGGCTTATATTAAGGTGAGACTTGAGGATATGTGTGGGTGGAGAGCTGGAGACTGCACACTTCCTTCTTGGGTTAAAAATGAAGAAATTCATGAGGCGAGATGTGGTTCAGTGACACTGCTGATGCCTAGGTGGGAGAAACCTCCTTGAAGAGATCTGCTAAAATTCATCTCTTCTTCATTATGCTATTTCCTTTGGGTTCTCATAGTGGGTTTAACATCAGAGAAAGTGATGAACCAGATATATTTTTCCAGACACAGTTAAGTTCCATGAGTCATGTGGATGTTCTGACCGCATCATTTGGTTTCCTGTAAGATTTAGACAGCCTCTTGCAAGTGCACATACTAATTATTACACTTTGTTGAGATCCTGAGATAAATTTTAGGGGCAAATCTCACTTTACTTTATATTTTTTGGTGACCTGGAGGATAACTTGAAAAGTAGTGGAGATTTGCCTATGTAGTGGTTTCCAAAAGCTCTCTGCCCTTTAGGACTTGTGGAGCTGCGTTTTTAGGGGTAATTAGACTTTGTCAGAGACCAGGCTTCCTTCCTTTGTCTTTCTCCAAAAAAATACTGGGGCTAGAGTTTAAAATATACAGCTTGTGTTCAAAATGGCCTGCCCACCTCCTGACTGTCAAGCCTGTGGATAGGAATGTTGTGTAAGCTGCTAATTAGAGCAGATTCCTCAAAGCAGTGGCCCTCATTAAAGGAAGGGTGGCTACTGGTGGAACAATACCCCAAACTCAGCTAAGCAGATCACGCGGGATGACTCTGTGGGGTGGCTGTTATTCATGAACAGTGTGGCATTTATGATTCTTAATGAAAAGTTTCTTGGAAGCTAGAACAATTCTGCAGAATCAAGAGACTAGAATGTGCTTTTAAAAATGATACTCAAGTTGTTTTGCAAAGAGTTGTAACAAAAACAGTCGGAATAAAGGTCTATTTTTTTGCAAACTGAATCAAGTTCCCATTTCCCTTTGATTCCTGGATTCTTTAAATCTGGGTTATTTGTAGGGACATAGATGATTTCCCACATATAGAAAATAAATGTCCTGAGGCTGGTTTGGCCTTATGCCTGGAAGACCAGACAAAGTCTCAGTTTAAACACTAAATAAATAAAGTGGTGTTTAAGCTAGTCCTCTGACCTGGGGCTTTCTCTTATTTCAGGCTGTTGTTATTTATCTCCTGTACTCTAGCAAGAGCCTCTTCTCTCCCTGCTGTTATCCTTCTTGGACAGTCCCACAGGACCACTAGACTGAAGGCCCGCAAGCCTCTCTTGCTTCCTACTGTCTTTACTGCTGGTTCTCACTAGCATATGCCGTATGCCTTGGCCCCATCCCAGGGAGAACAAAATTCAGAATATGTGGGCTTTACATGGAACTGTCAGCATTTTTGGAAAGATGCTTGGAGATGTATGTGCAAAGGCAGAGGCTGGCTGAACCAAGGCCACACTCTTCCTAGGGAAGCTTTGAGGCTTAGAAGGTGTAGTCACAATCCACCTTGTCCTACAGTGACTCCCAGATGACAAGCATGTGCCACCTTCCACACTTGGTTTTTGTCTTTTTTTCTCACTTGGGGTGCCTCCCCCTTTCTCTATGCCTCTCCAAATTTTGCCCATTTTTAAGTTTTCAGTCAAATTCTAATTTTTACTCTAGGCATTCTTTACTCAGGTCACATGCCTTGGGGACATGTGTCCTCTCCTTACTTTGGAGTTTGGTACCACTCTTGCTTTCTTTGATTTCTCGTTTACTTTATATTAGTTACATATATAATATATATTGAGGCTCCATAGTAGAGGAGATTCTTGCGGAAGAAAGGAGATGGTGAAAATTGAGAGTCTTGATTTTAAGCTCTTTGCTAGTGATGGCATTTCCTCCTATGATCACAGGGACTTAATAACCATCAGAATAGAGTAAGATTGAACCTGGTACTTGTTAAAAATCAATGGGCTTCTCTGTAGACAATAGGAAAACAGATTGTACAAAATTGATTCAATGAAGATTTTGGACCAAGATTTCATGGAATTCCTAGCAATTATCGAAATATCTTAAATTCACAGTAAACAAACAAAAAAACTACCCCAAAATACCTGTATCTAAGAACAGTTGTTTTTTTCTCTTTAAATAACATAGTAGTCAGCATGAACTTTGCTCTGTTATAGACTGTGTTACTATAATAAAAAATGTAGCTGGGTACAATGTCATATGTCTATAATCTCAGTGACTGAAGCAGGAGAATTGCAAGTTCAAGGCCAGCCTTAGCAACTTGGTGAGACCTATAGCAATTTATCAAGACCATGTCTCAAAATACAAATTAAAAGGACTGGCAATATAGCTCAGTAGTAAAGTGCCCCTGAGTTCAATCCCCAGCATGGCGTTGGAGGGTTGAGGAAGTAAAGGTAGTGATTAACAAATTATTTCAGGCTCTGAAAAGACAGATATCTTTCTTAGGATTTTCCATTCATCTTTAATCCAGAGAGTTATGGTAGGCTGACATCTTTTTTGGGTGAGGTTTATCTGGGGCTGTCTGATTAGTATCTTGACCATTGGGTTCACCTGTTCAATGATTGATGGCTTTTTTTTCTTTTTGTTGCAGATGATGGGAGGCAAAGGCCTTAAACAGGCCACAGAAATTGCTATATTAAATGCCAACTACATGGCGAAGCGATTAGAAAAACACTATAGAGTCCTTTTTAGGGGTGCAAGAGGTAAGTATCAACTTTAGACTATCATCACCTTGGTTTTTTCCTTGGCCTAACTAAGTTGACTTGTGATGTGAGCGGGAGATTTCTATTTCATATACTAGAGAAAAGTATAGAGTTGGGTGTTTTGTTTATTTTTTTGTTTGTTTGTTTTTGGGGATGAATCCAGGGATTCTTAACCACTGAGCCACACCCCTACCCTACTCCCCTTTTTATATTTTATTTAGAGGCAGGGTCTCCCTGAGTTGCTTAGAGCCTCTCTACGTTGCTGAGGCTGGCTTTGAACTCATGATCCTCCAGTCTCAGCCTCCTGAGCTACTGGGTTACAGGCATGCACCACTGTGCCCAGCAAGTATAGAGTTCTTGAAAATAACTTTGGTTTAGTTAATAGTATCACTCTAAGAAGGCTATCCAAGGCACTTATTCTACACAGCCCATTTCAACAAGGAACACACACCACTGAGAGATGCGTATACATAATACTATGAGCTGGTTATCACAAAATGCTATATGTCTGCTTCCAAAAAGTGGAGCCGCTCAGATTGGGTAAGGCAGGGTGGAATAGTAGAGAGATCCTTCTGGAAGGAGCTTGTTGAAATGAATCTGGAAGGAGAAGTAGCAGGTAAGATCCCCAGTAAACAGTTACAGGAGCAAGCCAGAGAAGCAAGAGTTGCCTGGGTGGGTGGAGTCTTGGTGGGGGGAAGGGGGAGTGCTACAGGATTCATTAGGAGATTATTACCATAGATCATTAAGACTGTGGCAAGGAAGAAAGCTGCTCTTTAGAAGTAGAATTGGTTGGCTGTATTTACTGATTAGTTGAGTATGAAGAGAAATATTAGGTAAACCTTATAGGCTTACAACAAAATGTCTAGGTAAGTGGGGGACCAAAGTCACTCTAGAAGTGATGGGAGGTGATGGAACCAAGAGCCAGGTAGACATTTAGACATTGGCCATGACCACAGAGTCGAAGAGCAGAGTCTTGGAGAGGAACCCAAGGATGGAGTATGAAGAAATGACAGCAAAACATCTCCAACAGAGTGCAGTCTGTGTGCTTCATTTCTCCAGCACCCATACCCGGCCTGTCACATGCAGTCAACAGATAAATGTGTGTGACATTGCGTGAGAAGGAAAGGGAGACTATAGAGAACGAGGAGCTGATTTTATTTCATGAATTAATATTTTTCTACAGCTTTATTGAGGTATAAGCGACAAATCTGATTTTATGAGTTTTTAAAAGAACCTATGACTTCAATAATTAAGAAGACTTTGGTAACCTGTGAAAGTAGTTTGGGCAAATGGTGAGGCACATACCAGATGGAAATGGAAATGGACTGTTGATGTGGGATTGGGAAGGAGAAGGGAGACGCTTTCGTGCTTTAGAAGTTTGGTGGTGAAAGGGGATTGGGGTGTTTCAACATAAAACTTATATAGTCATGTATTATTTTTAAACAGAAAGCAATATGATTTTAAACTGCCAGGGGAAAGTCTATGAAGGGAGAGTGAAACTCCAATAGAATAACAGATGGGAGAACAGAGTCACCTTGAGTGGGAAAGGCTGAAACGAAGAACCAAGTGGACCTTTGGAACCCTGGCTGTGGCCCTGGAATGAGAGCTGAGCAGACATAGAGACCAGCAGAGAGAAGCTAGGCACCAGCAGGCCATATCTGGGCAATAGCAACCAGCCCCCTCCTGGGCTCTTGATTTCTCCAGCCAGGCAGAGTGTATAACTGCACCTGTGATCTTTAATTTAAAGGCAGGTCTCACCTTATAAATATGTATCCAAAGGGTTTGGGAGTTTGAAAATAGGAAAAAACTAAATATATATAGAAGCTCTGGTTAGGAATATCCCCCTCTCCCTGGCCCCAGGAGGGGGGAAAAAAAAAAGTGGTAGGCAATAAGTTTCTCAACTACATGAGAAGATGCTTTTGAGGTAAGTGCTAAAGAAGCTGCTAGAGCTACTAATTAACTGAAATGTAGCTCCTGTGTGATATGTATCTTGCTTGTTGAGCTTTAAGGATTAGCATAAATATTCTGTCTGATTATATAAATATTGTGTATTGTTCAACATGGACATTTTGGAAAATAAAGCATGAAAGGAAATTAAATGGTCCATGCCTCTGTCAGTCAGGCATAGCCAGTTATTGATATTTTTCTATTTTCCTTTATCTTTATTTTACACAATTGGTCATTTATTTTTTTATTATGTATTTAAAGTATTTTTAAGTTGTTGGTAGATCTTTATTTATTATTTATTTATATGTGGTGCTGAGAATTAAACCCAGTGCCTCACACTTGCCAGGCAAGTGTGCTATTACTGAGCCCCAGCCCCAGTCCTGGTTGTGTTTAAAACACAGTTTTTAATCCTATTTTTAAACTTCATCTTATATCAAGAGCATTTTTCCCATGGCATTAAATATTCTTTGACATTGGCTATGTTGTTTCAATTAAAAAATTCAGTTTTTATACTATTTTTTAAAATTTTCTCTTACGAGCATTTTCCATGGCATGAAATACTGATTGTTGAAAATGTTAATTTGATTGTATGATGTACCATTATTTGAGTCCCTTTGATAGCTCTGCTGGTGGAGTGGAGGACTATAGAATTTTTACCACATGCACATCAGGTAGTGCACTAATCTCTAGGATTTATGAAGAACTAAAAAATCTTAACACCAAAAAAAACAAATAACCCAGTCAATAAATGGGCTAATGAACAGACACTTCTCAGAAGATGATATACAATCAATCAACAAATATATGAAAAAATGTTCAACATCTGTAGCAATTAGAGAAATGCAAATCAAAACTAAGATTTCATCTCCAGTCATAATGGCAGCTATTAACAATACAAAGAACAATAAGTGTTGTCGAGGATGTGGAAAAAAAGGAACACTCATACATTGCTTATGGGACTGCAAATTGGTACAGACAATATGGAAGCTATATGGAAAATCCTTGGAAAACTGGGAATGGAACCACCATTTGACCCAGCTAACCCACTCCTTGGCTTATACTCAAAGGGCTTAAAAACAGCATGCTACAGAAGCTGAGGCTGTAGCTCAGTGGTAAAGTGCTTGCCTTGCATGTGTGAGGCACTGGGTTCATTTCCCAGCACCACATAAAAATAAATTAAGATACTGTGTGTTCATCTACAGTGAAATAAATATTAAAAAAACAAACAAACAGCATACTACAGGGACATAGCCACATCAATGTTTATAGCAGCACAATTCACAATAGTGAATTGCTAAACTGTGGAACCAACCTAGATGCCCTTCAGTAGATTAATGGATAAAGAAAATGTCGTATATATACACAATGGAATATTACTCAGCAAAAAAAGAGAACAAAATATGGCATTTGCAGGTAAATGATGAAGCTAGAGAATATAATGCTAAGTGATATTAGCCAATCCCAAAAAAAACAAATGCCGAATGATTTTTCTGATTTAAGGATGCTGATCCATAATATGCTGTGGGGTGGGTGGGAGGATTAAGTGAACTCTAGAGAGGGCAAAGGGGAAAAGGGGAGGGATGGGAGAGGATGGAGGGGAAGGGAGAGGGGCATAGGGGTAGGAAAGATGGTGAAATGCGATGGTCAACATTACCCTAAGTACATGTAAGAAGACATGACTCTACTTTGTATGCAACCAGAGATAGGAAAAATTGCTCTATATGTGTAATATGAATTGTAATGCCTTCTGTTGTCACATATAACAAATCAAAATTAAAAACAAAAAAGAATGAATGCGATTTAAACTGTGTGGGGTGGTTGGCACCCGGCGGGAGAGGGACCATTACAGCCATGTGCTTAGCATTTAAATGACAGCTTTACCATAGGGACTGACCACACCCCTTCACCACCCTCACCAACTCACTCACTGTCCTGGGGGATTTGTGATATAAAAAGATAGATGAAATTTCCATTTGTTTTGACATTTTACTCCAGAATTAAATAACAAATAATATTTCTCATTCCAAACAGAAATAGATTGGTATAGACTTTATTATCCAATCCCAAAGTTCGTGAAACCAAAGATTGTCTCATATTTGGTCTGGTAAACACATTCAATACACAGTTTGAGGCTTAGTATTTTAGGTCCTAAAAACAATCACCACTGTCCATCCTCTGGGCGCCAAATAGGAACGTTCCCAATAAACACATTGTATTCTAAAATGTCTAATGGCAGTATTAGAAGCCTGCCATTTGTCTTAATCATGTTTACCAGCTCAACCGAAGACTTTGGAATTGTGTCTGACTATGAGGCAATCATTTTAATCAACTCCAGGCTTGCCTTTATATGAGCCATTTCTTTGCGAGATCTGAATACCAGCTAAACTGCTTGTGATTTTTTTGAAACAAGGAAGTAACAGGCAAGCATGGGTGGGGGTGGGACTGGAGGAGCAGTAGTATGTATTCTGCTAGGATGAGAAAAGAAAGGAATCACCTCACGGAAGATGATACATTTTTAAAGGAAGCATTTTAGAAACTTTGCAGGTTTTTGATCTTATGGGAAGTCCTCAGCTCCCTGTGTGAGCTGAATGGAGTTACCATCAGCAGGAGATAACTTTATTAGTATACCAGTGATTTATTATTTTAGTTTCTTATATGCCTATCTGCTTTTTACCCTTGACAAACCTAACTTTATTTGCAAATTCCTGTCCAGGTGGCCCCTGCTTTGTAAATCGGCTGGGGCCTTAGGGCCTAGGCCCTTATATCCCCAGTCCAAAGTGACCTTGCTGAGACCAGGGGTCTAGTGTACCTGATTGCATTTTCAGGGAAATAGCCAAATTTAGATTCTATTCATGATTCCTGAATTACCACTGAAGAGCTTGAAGGAGTTTTGATTGCCCACCCAAGCTTTATAAAATAATTGCCTAATCAGCTCCAATATTCCTAGGTGACCTCTTATTTTAGGGAAGGGGGTTACTGGGAATTGAACCCTGGGGTGCTTTACAACTGAGCTACATGCCCAAAGTGCCCCCCCCCCACACACACTTATTTTTAAAATTTCAAGATGGTCTAAACTGCTCAGGCCTTGCTGAGTTGCTGATATTGGCCTCAAACTTGTGATTCTCTTGCCTGAGCTTCATAAGACCCTAAGATTACAAATGTGTGTCACGATGATTGACTCCTAGGCAGTTTCTCTGAGGTCATGGGATAAGCAAAGTTCAGTTGCTGCCCTTAAGAAAGGTTTTTGGGGGCTGAGGTTGTGGCTCAGTGGTAGAGTGGTCGCTCGCCTAGCATGTGTGAGGCCCTGGGTTCAATCCTCAGCACCACATAAAAATAAATAAATAAAATAAAGGCATTGTGTCCAACTACAACTAAAACATAAATATATAAAAAAAAAAAGAGAGAGAGAAAGAAAGAAAGGCTTTATGGAAGCCCTATTTTCCCACAGTATATTCCTTTGTTTTCAGCCTCCCAAGATCATCCGCAGGAGGGGAGGTGGTACCAACAGAATTAAGTCACTTTTCTTTTGCTTTTCCATCATCCACTTTTCTTATCTCTTTCATTTTCCTTTATCTTAAGCTATAGTTAATTAGGCATAGCTAAAAATACCTACTTGGTGAAAATGAAAGCTTGCACTAATAATTTTATACAGTTTCTACTTTGGATTGTCCTGACTCAACAAAATGCCATAGGAAGTTTATCTTTCTCCTAAAAGTTGCAAAGATGAATATCTTGGTATCTGGTCTCTGATGGCTGCCAAGTTTAAATTTCATCCTTTTCGGGGCTCAAGTAGAGATAGACATGCTGATGTTCCACAAGTTTCCATTTGAATGTAATAGAATACGGATTTAGACAATAACATCTGAACCTCATTTTAAAAATGGAGCTCTTCCCAAACCACTTGGCTGTGGTGGGCCCTCAGCAGATGAAGTCTTGGTATTAGCCATTGCTGGGTTGGGCTTTCAGCTTTTACAGAACCCTTGCTTGGAAGACTCTCCTCTCCTGCCAACAAGCAATTCCTCTCCCTCTGATGTGCATCACTGCCTTCCTGCTGTCTGCATGTCCTTCACAGCAGTGAGCTTCCATTAGCCTTCTTTTTTCTGTCATTGCCATAGTTTAATGACTTAGTGGTGCCAGAGGTTCAAAGAAAGGGCAAAGGCTGACACTGGACTCCAAAGGTAGGATAGTATAGCAGGGCACTGAAATTAATAGTTGATAAGCTCTTAAGTATTCTCATGGTGTTCTCCTTGAGCATTCTCCTGGCTATTGCTTTTTGGTACCCCTCCTCCCCTCAAGTTTACCTACTCATGAACAGAACTTTCTGTTTTTGAATCACATTCTTGACCAATTCACTGTTGTTAGAAAGTGTATTTTAAAAACAAACAGTTTTAGTGTATTCAGTGTCTTGGGTTCTCATACTTTCCCCACCCAAACAAAACCAATTCTTTTGTGTTTCTTCAGAGCAGTTCACAGACCATCTGCAGGGGTTGTTAGTGACTGGAGCTATTCTTGACAGGCTTGGGAAGTTTTGTCTGTTCTGCTCATAAGTGGACTCACTATTTCTTTATTTCCTGAGAGTCAGGAAAGCAAGTTGGATACATTATTGTCTCATAATATTAGAGATTAGAAATTTCTCTTAAGAGAACTCATCAGTTGGTGGACTGTAGAATTTGGGAAGCCCCCAGAAATTTCTGTTTTCAAGTATTCACTTTTTTTTTTTTTGTACTGGGTATTGAACTCGGGGGAATTTAACCATTGAGCCACATCCCCAGCCCTATTTTGTATTTTATTTAGAGACAGGATTTCACTGAGTTGCTTAGCCCCTAGTTTTTGCTGAGGCTGGTTTTGAACTTGTGATCCTCTTGCCTCAGACTCAGCTGCTGGGATTATAGGCATGTACCACTGGCCTGGCGCCACAGACTCACTGTTTTTTTTTTTTTTTTATTGACAATGGAAGGGTGGTCAGAAGCTCATCTGCGTTCAAATTAGAACAAAGTGAACTGCCCCATGTGGACTATACCTCACTGCTTCCTTGCCACTTCAGTATACTGTTTGATAGGACCTATCTCTAATTCTCAGTCTGCATGCTAACACCAAAGCTCTTTTGAAGAATTATATAAAATCCTGTATGTGTCCTATGGACATATATTTAATATATATTTACACACATCCAGAAGAAACTGTTAGTCCATGTTGAGGGTAAAGTTGCTAAAAAAAAGTCTGTGTGGATCTTTGGCTCTAGAAATATTTTGTTTAAAAGGATCAGGATTACAATGTTATATTTAACTATTGCAAGTAGATTTTAGGTCCTCAGAGTAGAAATAATCTCATCTCCTTATACCTCCTGCTGAATGTTCCAGTAATGCCTCCCACTTCCCATCAGCTGTGATCAGGCTCATGGGTGGGTAGTAAAATAAAATCAGACACACATGTAATTAAAGTCAATGAATTCTTCATTGCCAGCTATAAACTTACCAAGTGCTCATAGCTTCTTGGTCCTCATTAATATGCAGAAAGAGCTAAATTATTTTTTGGGCAAAACAAGCTGATGCTAATCTTGAAGTGAAACAATTTTTTTTTTTTCCCCTGAACAGGTTTTGTGGCTCATGAGTTTATTTTGGACACAAGACCATTCAAAAAGTCAGCAAATATTGATGCTGTGGATGTGGCCAAGAGGCTTCAAGATTATGGTAAGTGGACTTAGGCTAAGTAGCTTCTGACATTCATGCAGATGTCCCTTCTGGCTATAGACCAGTTCCTCAAAGCACAAATGGAATGTTCAGGCACCACAGTATCCTTATTCATGGGATAAATGGGGAGTTTAGGGTTATTGGCAACCTTTAATAATGAAAAAATTTTCTTCTATTGCTACACTCCTGCCCTTTGAAAGACATTAAAACATGCCTCTTGGATGCATCAGAGCCAAGAAAGGGAGTCATGATAGTTAGATTTTCAAATCTCAAAGAAAAGGATTATTGTTTCTCATAAATTCCTACTTCTCTCCCATTCCTATTAAATACGGGGTCCATGAAAAGGTAAGCTGGTGGAACAGGGAAGGAAGCAGAGCAGGTGACCTGTAGAAGTGTTAAGAGACACATAGCTCTGGAGTTACACAACCACTGTAGCCAAGGCATAGCCGTTGCAGCTGCTTCTGGAAATGAAGAAATAGGTGATATGCTTTTCACAAAAACTCAGCTTTCTCCAAAGTATTTTGAGAAGCATGGATCCCTTATTCGCCACATCCTCATTATAATTACATTTGCTTAGTGACACTATGATAATATCAAGGATCCTTCAGCTCACAGAAAGGCTAAGGTGGGGATAACTTTGCCTTTGGAGGGATGTGGAGAGCTGTCTGAATTTTAATGTCTTGTTTTAAGAAGGAATGTGAAAATTTTAGTAGTTTTGCTATTACATCATAATGGGAGTCCTGCATGTATGATTAACTCTTCTCGAATGATATTATGTAGAATTACACTGATAATAAATGGAAAAACCAAAGAAAGCTGTTATTAATAAAATTAGCAACTGTATCTCCCATTACCTGATAGTAGAACTCTGTTCCTCTGATTCACTCACCCAGCCAGGGATTGAGTAATAGCCAGTTGAGATGAAGATTTTCAATTCTTGCATGCATTGTTTACATCCCACACCTAATTACACCACATCAACAGAGAAAAGTCTAAGAGAGAGGTAGCAACTGATGTCACAACTCACTGTGTCCAAGTCATATTTTCTCTCCCAACTTGGATACTATTTTGATGTTTGATAGAATTTCCATACTTGTCCAAAGCTCAGGTTCCTCAGCACTCAGCACATGTGTTAATAAATGAGAGTTGGGGGAAAAAATGAGTTGGAGCTAGGTGCAGTGGCATATGCCTGTAATCCCAGTGGTCAGGAGGCTGAGGCAGGAGGATCAAGAGTATGAAGCTAGCCTTAGCAAAGTGAGGTGTTAAGCAACTCAGTGAGACCCTGTCTCTAAATAAAATACAAAATAGGGCTGGGGATGTGGCTCAGTGGTCAAGTGCCCCTGAGTTCAATCCTTGGTATTGCCCTTCCCTACCCCGCCCAAAAAAAAATTGAGTTGGAAAATGAAATTAATAACACAGGTTCTGATCTTAGCCATAAACACTGAATCTGGATTTAATCTATATATTTTACAAGTGCCCATTGTCTCTTTTCAGACAAGTTTGGGCTATACTGTCTTAGGCCAAACTAATTATCAGACTCATTTTCAGAATCTAAGATTCAGCTCCTACCCTGGACTTCCTGAACCAAGGTCTAGATCCAGAAATGTCCTCCGAAAACATCTCTGACAGTTCCAGATATGGAGACCACTAAAAATATTGGACTGAATTTGCTCACACAGTAAATTGAGGGTAGACTTCAATGAATCAGATTATTATTAAAAAATAAATAGTCCTTTACTAGCTGGGTGACACAAGTGTATGCATTTGTTAAAACTCATTAAAGGTACAGTTAAGATTGTTCATTTTATTGAAGATCTTCTCAAAAATGTATGACTAAATATTGAATTCTAGTTAATGATATGCATATTGAAATATTAGAGAGCTAAGTATACTGATGATTGCAATGCATCAAAAATAAGCTGAATGAATGTGATAAAGCAAACATTATAGAATCTAGGTGATAGGTATTTGGGTACTCACCTACAGTGCTTTCAAATTATCTGTATGTTTGAAAATTTTTATAATAAAATGTTGGGGACATAAATCTTTAAGGTATGCAGACATTACTATAACACTCCACATCATTAACGAATGCCAGAATTGGGGATCCACTGAACTCTGGGGCAAGATTAGTTGACAGGTGTTAATCAGCCTTGGAGTTACTCTTTGTCTTTTAAAAGTCTCACAGAAGGGCTGAGAATGTAGCTCAGTGGAGGAGTGCACAAGAGCATGCACATGGCCCTGGGTTCCATTCCCCAGCACCACCCTCAAAATATTTTTTTTCCAGAGAAAAATGTAAAAATGTTGTTTGCTTTTGTTCAGGAAATCTTTTGTTAATATTTCTTATTGATTCACCTTATGTATAAAAACCTTTTGGAAACAGAAACACCTCATGCTGCATTCATGCTTTCCCTGTACTGACCAAGTCTCAGTTTCCTCACTTATAAAAATGGGACAATATGTAACTTAAATTTGTATAGGTTATATTTTTATTTCTCTTAATTGTAAGTAAGGTATGATCATTGCAGAAAGGTGTTTTTTTTTGGTGGGGGGGGGAAGGGGAATGTGCGCGTGTGTATGTGCATGCTGAGGATAATCCATGGCCTTGTGAATGCTCAGCACATGCTCTACTACAGAGCTATATCCACAGTCTCAAAGAGCCTAAAACACAAAATGAAACCTGGTGATAACTTCTGTTAACATTAGTATTTGTCTTTTTTGTTGTCATTTTACCAAAGTGGGATAATAAGTAACTTCTTTTTTTCACACCTAATTTTGAAGTTTTACCCAATTTAACAAATATGAATTTATATATTTTTGATTGCTTTACAGTTATTGTATGGGTGCCCTGTAAAATTTATTTAGCCAATTCCTATTTCTGGAAATTAGCTTATATCCTAAGTTTTTCTTTGAATAACTGTGCAAAGATGAATTTCCATGTATATATGTGTGTGTGTGTACCCATGTATATGTGCAGTATGTATGTGTATACATGTATAGATGCATGTATGTATGCACACATTTATTTGATGATTTCCTGTGGGTAAATTATAAGGGGAGGCCAAAGTAAGTGAGGCAAGTTCTTCTATCTCCCTTTTCAGGATTTCATGCCCCCACCATGTCCTGGCCTGTGGCAGGAACCCTCATGGTTGAGCCCACTGAGTCAGAAGACAAGGCAGAGCTGGACAGATTCTGTGATGCCATGATCAACATTCGGCAGGAAATTGCTGACATTGAAGAGGGCCGCATTGACCCTAGGGTCAATCCATTAAAGGTGCATTAGCGCTGATACTTTATTCAGATGTCCCATAGAGTAGGAAATGGTGTCTGGACAGTCTGCTGGCAACTACTGAATTCTCATCTGAAGTTAGTCTTGCCTAGAATAAGATAATTCTTCTGAGAAGGTGTACTCCATTTCTTTTTTTTTTTTTTATTGGTTGTTCAAAACATTACATGTATTCCATTTCTTGAGCAAACTGATTCCTCAGATATAATGTTGGGGTGGGAGCTACATACCTACATGTACCCAACTGATTGCCAAAGGAGGCAGTGGATACTGAAGGACTTGAAGCATTCTTATCCTTCAAAGTCTCTCATGCATTGTAGTGAGATGATGGCATAAATCAGAAGTAAGTGCATAAATTCTAACTGTATAAACACAATTCTTGTATTGGAACAGTGGCCTCTGAGAACATTTGATCTGCCCTGGATGTTTGACAGTATATATGAGCCATATTGGAGAAAAGTTTGTTAGGCATTACCCTACCTCTTCTATAGCATGTTAATTTTATATCTGGTTAGGGTCTTAAGTTTTGGTTAGGTCCAGACATTGGGCTGGAGAACCATGAATGGAACATACCATGAAGGCTATGGTTGTGTCTCCGTGGCTCTAAGGTAGAAAACAAGGAACTAAGGCAAGTTGGCATGTAGGGGCCACTGCCTAAGAGAAGGCAGGCCCTTGCTAAATGTGAGGAATAAATTTTTACTGTCATTTCTTTTTTCTCCCCAGATATTGATTTTTCCAGGATTTAGGCTATTTTTAAAAATGGCAATAGATATCTCAAAGAACATGATACTGAGTTACAGAAACAGATAGAGAATGGTTCTCAAAGATTGATAAGTTTAAAAATGAGCCAAATTGTGCTATATGCTGTGTAGTCCATGTTAAAAACATGAGACTGATAAGCACTACATTCAGGACAGTGATTATCGCTGATGAGGAGAGCAAGAAATGAGTTGCAGAGGGGAGTTACAGCTTTAACTATGTAATGTCTTAGTTTAAGAGGTGAAGCAAGTATGAAAAAATGTTCATGTCACCTTGCTGGGTGGTAGATATGCTTATTATTACCTACCCTTCTAATACTTGAAATATCTCATCAAAAAATTTCCTATCCCCCAAATTGAAAGACAACTCCTCTCTCTGGGCTTCCAGAAGAAGCTCGATGACTGTGGTGTAGAGCAGAAGGCAGTGCACTGCTGACTGTCATCCTTGTCTCTCTCAGATGTCTCCACACTCCTTGACCTGTGTCACATCCTCCCACTGGGATCGTCCATATTCCAGAGAGGTGGCAGCATTCCCACTTGTAAGTTCTCCTCTGAAGCTGAATGTGGCAATTGCGTTGGTGTTTACTTTCCTAAGCCACATCTCCTGAAGGATCCCTTTCCTACAGCCTCATTAGGAAACCCTATATGGCACACCTTGTGATAGGTGGGTCGTGAAGAACACAAGGCAAAGGCCCTGGCTTTCAGTGCCTGGTCAGAAGCAGGACATTCACCACAGGTTTGGAACCCACACAGTAACAGAGGTACAGGAAGAAAGCTGAATATTAGGGGATCTCTGTGATTAATATGTTTTCTACTGCCATTCAACAAAAAATGGACCCAAGTGCACTCTGTCTTCTTACAGATTTTATGAAGAAGGTACTCTGTAGTCTTTTGGGAGTGACATAGAGACAAGGCTCAAATGTTGGAATTTTTTTTTTTTTTTTTATGCATTACTGGGGATTGAATCCAAGGGGCATCCTACCACTGAGCTACAGCCCCAGTCCCAGACAGGTTTTTGCTATGTTCTGAGGCTGGCTTGCTAATCTCTTGCCTCAGCCTCAAGTTGTGGGATTACAGGATATACCACTACTAAGGCAAAAGTTGAAGTTTTTGGAGGAGTACTGGGGATTGAACCTAGAGAGCAACATACCAGCCCTTTTTACGTTGTATTTTGAGGTGGGGCCTCCCTAAGTTGCATAGGGCCTTGCTAAGTTGTTGAGGCTGACCTTGAATTTGTGATCCTCCTGCCTTAGCCTCCTGAGTTCCTGGGATTGTAGGTGTGCACCACTGCACTGGATGTTTGTTGTTGTTTTTGACAGAATAGCTTTTAGTACTTGTTGGGCTAATGGTATTTTGGGCTGTGGGAATATCTTTGCACCTCTAGTATTTTCATCTTTTGTCCTTTCCAGCCCTTTGTGAAACCAGAGAACAAATTCTGGCCAACCATTGCCCGGATTGATGACATATATGGAGATCAGCATCTGTTCTGTACCTGCCCACCCATGGAAGTTTATGAGTCCCCATTTTCTGAACAGAAGAGAGCTTCTTCTTAATATTCTCTCCCTGCTACCAAGTTGATGTCTCTCCCTGGAGCATTTGATAAGCAATAAATATTTCATCTCCCACCCAGGCTCAAGTAAGGGTTTTATGTACTTTATATTTTTGTAATCTCTCTTAATGTAAATACAGTTAGCATAGTGAGTGGCAGCTGACTGTTGGAAGTCTGGTTTTTTTGCTTCAATATTCTGTATCCAGTTGATTGGAAGCCATTTATTTTTTTGCATAGAAAAATTTGAGTGTGCTAGGAACTTTTTCAATGTGGCAAGTTTGCAAAGTTAGAGGCTTTACTGGAAATTCAATAGTCACATTTTTGTTCCAAATAAGTCCTCATGGACTATGCCATCTGTGGGAAATCCCAGGGCAAATGTTTACATTTTATATCCACTGAAGAACTTTTTTTCCTGACTAATTTGCCTAATCTGTAATAGCATTTAAGTGTGTTCATTTTCTGTGTGGGTTTTTTTTATCTGCATTTATTAGTATTCTAATAAACAATTCAATTTGAAGAATGCCCTCCATTTTATAATTTTACCCCATCACACTGCAGATTCAGGGGGAACTGAAGTGTAACAAGAGTACTCAACCCAATAGCCATAGTTACATTATCTGTTTTGCCTTTGGCTAAAGAAACCTTGCTTGTCCTGATCACCATTGAAGGTTACTTTGGCCCTTTAGAATTGTGTTGGGATGCATGTAACTAAAACTCAAGTACAGAATTTCAATTTAAATTTTTAAGTCCAGAGCTAACCAGCTAAGGGCTGATGCTCTGTCAGTCTTGCTGTTCTGCCTGCCTTTACATTTCAAAATGATTACTGCACATCCAGGTATCACATAGCCCTTTAAGATAGGAATGAGGGGAAAGAGCAAAAGGCACATTCTATCGAAGTTTTGTCTCTTTTTAAGTGCTTTTCAAGAAGTTCCATCTAGGAACTCCTTACTTTTAACCGGCCAGCATTGTTTCAGATCACCACTCCTAACTACAAGGGACTAAGGGGAGGTCTTTTACCTGGGCACCCTACTACCCCAGACAAAATCAGCAGTTTGTGAAAGGAAAGGGGAATAGATTTTGGGTAGGCAACTAGCATGCCTGCCATGACTTTCTCCCCCAAAAAGCAAATATTTGAGGTGCTCTTGATAATTATCAAGTACTTGCTCTAACACTGATTTCTTGGTTCCTCCTCTGGTTACTCCAACAATTACTCAGTATCACTAATGATCTGGACAAAAGGTCTGAGTGCCCTATTGAATTCTCTCCAAGTAGGCCACACTTAAAAAGTTTGTAAAACAATGTTAGCCTAACAAAGTAGTCAAGAAACAATAGGTTCCATGGTTTCTTTTTTATATGGTAATTAATATTTAATTACATCTCAGTTACAATTCTAGGTGAAGTGTTTGAAATATCTCATTCGAAAACTTTTCCACTTTTACCTAAGGGAGGTATGGAGAGATGTTCTTGGACATAAGCTGGTGTGGCCTAGGCTGACCAGCTCTAGCGCTTGTCAGCCCAAACAGGATATGACACTGTTATGGTGACTGCAAACTTGGAACCTTTGCCCTTCCTGAGCTGGAAACTGTTTTCTCAATACAGGTTAGCCATCAGGGCATGCAGCAGCCCCTTCTCAGGAAGTACCAGTAAATGAAAATAAATAATTGAAGCAAAGAGTGGTTCTTTTCTATTTTGTCAAAGTATTTGTAGTTGAGGGTCAAAGTTGTTTCCACAACTGGTCATCCAACTGGTCATGCCTCTAGAATGTATCAGAGGCAAATGCTGGTAGTTAAGAGTGTCAAAGTGAACCATATGTCCTTCATTATTAAATCACTCACATATTTACTTAATGGTTGTGCCACTCTTTCCCACCTCTGGGTCCTGGCTCATATGACATCTTCTACTTGGAGCACTCTCCTCAGCCACTTTTGCATGATTCCTGTTCACTTTGCATGTTTCAGCATGGAGGATCTGTTTGTTCATTACTGTAAATGTAGGAGGTATGATTAATGTTGAGCGTATTTGTGGGTGTCAATGATTGATTTTCTTACTGTGGCATCTTTTTTTCCCTTTCTTTTTCTTCAGACTTTTTTTTTAATCTGCAGCACTGAGAATTTAACCCAGAGCTTCACATGTGCGATGCAAGCACTCTGCCACTGAGCCACAATCCCAACCCTTTTCTTCTGTTCATAATGTGTAATTCCCATCTGTTGGGGCACTGAGTACATCATCTTCCTCTCTCTTACTCCTTTAGTACTTCTGGTTCTAAATTTCCCGGCCATTATCATAGTTTGCCAAACGAGTTTCTCAACCTTCAGACATGTTGTACCTTTCACCTGAAGCTTTTCTCCACTTCCACTCCTTACCTCTCAAACGTATAATCTCCTGGGGAAAGATATATTTATTCTTTCTTTTTTTTTTTAAACCTTTATTTTATTTATTTGTATGTGGTGCTAAGGATCGAACCCAGGGCCTCGCATGTGCTAGGCGAGCACTCTACTACTGAGCCTGACCCCAAGCCCCCTAATTTCCTAATTTTTAGAAGTTTTAATTCTGTCAGGTCACCCATACCAACATTTGTTTAAAAAAATGTAGTCAGTTTGGGATGGGTAGTCTCTGGTACCTAGAATTGACAAAGGTTTTTTTTACAAAAAAAACAGTGCTATTCAATTATGGTTTAATAGACTTGTTAGGCTAACCAGGTAACCAACCCCTTTTCTCTATATCATTGTTCTAATGGGGAATATTTATACAAATTCATACAAACAAGATCATTTCATTTCCCACCTGCATCAAGTCAAAGACCAAGAAATACTTTCATTTCTCTTACAAACTAACTTCTAAAATGCAAGTTGGAGGACTGGGATTGTGGCTCAGTGGTAGAGCACTTGCCTAGCACACATGTGGCACTGGGTTCAATCCCCAGCACTACATAAAAAAAAAAACTAAACAATCAAATAAAGGTTTTGTGTTCATCTACAACTAAAAATATTTTTTAAAAAATGTGAGTTGGAGGTTGTGTATAATTTCTTTTGCATTCAATAGGATCTATGAGTTTGAAATAAAAAATCATATTTTTTTTTTTTAACAGAAATGCATGAAAGGAAACAACTTCCTAGGTTCTCTAAGAGATCTAGGGCTTTCAAAAAACTGATGCAATAGTAATTTTACTGTGGTTTTGATCTGTTTGCTACATTGAAAAATATGTGTATACCTAGATACGGCATTTTAAATTTTTTTTAAATAAAAGTGTTATTGAAGATCATTTGAAAAAACAAAGCAAAAAACTTGGTAGACTCAGAAAGTCTTAAGTGCTTTAAATAACAGCCAAAGTCATAAACTTCCAGAAAACAGGATGGAATCCAAAGGCACTGGGATGAGGTCAGCCCATCTTAAAAAAAAAAAAAAATGCAGATTTTCCCCCAATGCTGTTACCATTGAGAGCTTGATCCAAAACTGCTACTCACTACAGTAGACCAAGCAGCCAAAGAACTAGATATAAGCATTCTTTCTTAAAGGCATAAGGAAGGAACAGAAAAAAGTTGACTTATTTGTGTTCAAGATGTTTTGTCCAATATGAACTACCCACAATATTAAAGATCCCCCAAATAAAAAAAAAATCTGTTTTTAGTGGTTAAAAGAAGCTGCTTCAGATACATTTCAAAAGACAATGAGAAAAATATTTCCATGGAAGGAGACATTTGGTAAACAGATTTACCAATAACACATCAGTGAGTACAGAATGTGGTACCAACCATTTTGGAAGGTATAAGTGGAAGGCTAGCTGGCAATACTATTTCTCTATTTTATCAAGATAGGCTTTAGCCTGTGATGGCATCAGCCAAAGAAGTATTGTCAATCTGAAGTTTAATGCTACTGAGCATGAGGCAGTTATGGGAATTGCCAAAAAATTGAACAAAGGTCCCTAAACGGTTTCATTATTTCCCAGAAGTTAATTGCACTTAGGGATTATGGTTTGAAAATGAGAAGTGTCTAAAAGAAATTACAATAATGATTCTCAGGTATTTTTATATGCAGTTTAGTCAGATTACACATTATTTTTCTTTGGAAGAGTATCCAACTTGTTTGTCAAATACTTTAGTGGAGAGTAATATCCCTGAGTTTAAATTCTAGACCCAAATTGGATAGCTTTGACTTAGGGAATAACCTCTTCCTTGCCTGTAGAATGGAGATAATGCCATTTACCTCGTAGGAGAGTATGAATGGTAAGTTAAAAATATCAATTAACTCTTCTTTTTTAGTGACAGACTGAATGGATGTGGGGAACATTCATCTTTGCTCCTAAGATGTAAACATACTGACAAAATATTCTTATTTAAAAACACAGGTTCTAAAGGAAGAAAAGGGAAATTTTGAGGTGGCAGAATTGGAGAGAGAACCCATATAACTTTCAATGTGGCCTGCGGAGGTACCAGGATTACCTTAGTAATCAGGAGGTTCAATGATTGAATGTTAGGGACTGAGACTGTAGTCATAGTGAATATGAAGGAGGAGAAATGGGCACATTTAGAATTGGGAAAGCCCTGTTCCAATAAAGGGACCAAAATATCCATATGCACTAACCAGGTTAATAGCAGAAAACAAATTTCTCAGGCCGTGGGTTTAAACAAAGTCACCCGGCAAGAAACTTGACTGCATGTGACTGAAGAAGTCAATTCATACCATCTGCATAATGAAAGAGTTATATTCAACAAAAACATAACATCTGGTTTAGTTTCAGGAAACTATGCAAGGCCCTAAAAGAAGCAAAATTCTCCGAGGAAAGCATTTGTGTCCATAACCATGCAATAAACAAAACCCTATCTGAAGAAAATAAACTCACAGATACAATACATTAGTTCACAGATAAAATTTTAAATTCAATGTTAAGCACCAATGAATGGCAGAACTCTTAAGAAGTTGGAAATGAGAAATATTAGAACTTTGAAATAAGTATGTTTAAGTGCTCAGAGATGATGGAAAGACTAACATTCACAAAAGATAAGAATATGAAACAAGAACAGAAAAACTGGAAAACAATTTTCTCAAATGAGAAAATTTAATCAAAGAATGACTTGAAGGGA